ACCATTATTAGGGTTGTTTTAAGAGTCTATTACCATGATTGACACCAACCCAAGTATGAGTGGTAAAATATTCTACGAATTCTGATAAATAAAGAATGAAACAAATTATTATTAAAAACTAATAATTTATGGAACCAATTCACTATAGAATATTTGAGAAGATGAAAGATTTGTTGATTTGACAACTTCTAAAATATCTTTCTGTACGCAATGGTTAAATAAGAAAACATTTTTCTTTTTTGAAATTAAGTTTTGGGCCAATATATTGGAAGACAAAATAATGGTGCCGCCATTTTCCACAAAGTGGTAATAATTAGAGTAGAAGTAATATTGTTAAGCCGAAACCGAATTAAATTACGACACCCTGAGATTAGTTAGTAATACTGTGATGAGTTTAAATGAAAAATACACTTATCATAGTACAATAATAGAAGATGTTGATTAAGTCATGGATTCTCTTTGCCTCTCACTTTTGATGGTTTAGATGAAACATAAATATACACTACCAAATTTAAAAAAACCCAATAGTTATCATAGTTAAGTACGCGTGAAATATATTCTCAAGACAGCTATCAGCCAACACATTAAGAGTATGATTATCGCCAAAACCCCTAAGGGGTTTCTTTACAATATTTTAGTAATATATTTGGGCTAAAAACTTTATTAGAAACCCAATGTTTTTGGGTGGTCCATTGGTAAAACTATTTTTGGTTAAAAAAAAAAAATTAAAGATTATCAAGCTTTTGCCTTCTGCAATCGACCAAGCGAATACTCTGATTCTCAAGCAATGATGAAGCGATCAATCAGCTAAGTCTTTGGACCTTCTTCAGTGAGTACATTCGATTCCGCCAATAAAAACCGCAGTAAGAAGATTGCCATGAACGAGATCGGGACGGGAGAGAGACAAAGGACATGACTGTGGTGAACGAGATCGTGAGTGGAATTAGCGAATTAGAGATCCGGGAGCGGGAGGAGGAGGCCAAGGCTCGGAAGAAGGCGCAAGTTGAGAAGTTAGTAGAGTGAGAGAGAGAGAAGACGACCATCGGCGCGGGGGAGATGATGATTGAAATGAAAAATTTTCTCTACAAGATTTTTTAACCAATGATATGGTGCCACCTGGGTAAGAAGAATCGATCCTTGTGGTGCCCAAATAAGGATCGATCTCTCTCCTTTTAAGCCTTTTTGATTTAATTTTGAGAATTAAAACCCTAAGAAACTCAACAAGGACTCTGCAATAATCATGGTCTAATTTCCAACGAAAATAAACACTACTGATTTTTTCCATGGTGAATATTTCACTGAACACAACTACGGTTATGGGATTGTGGAAACAACTGATATTTTTTCTCGACATCTCTTACACGTTCTAAGCGTAAAGCGTCCTAGGTGTTTTGCTGGTTTTTTTTTCTTCGTGTGTTGAATATTGAATGTTGCATATCAAACAAATTTGTGGAATTCATGCATAAAACTATTTGATTCTAAATATTTACAATAGTTTTCTTAATTTCTATTGATTATCCAATTGTTTTTTTTCGTTTTTTATATACAGTTAACAGTTTACAAAGTCTTTTTTAGTTTTGTTAAAGCAACAGTTTACAAAGTCATTGTCGTCATACTTAGATAGCTAGCAAGCAAATAAATTGGACAATCTAATAAGATATCACCAATCTCGTTCGTTATAACCCTCTCCTTGGCAAGACGACCATCACACATATTTCTTTCCCAATTGGTAAACACAAATTTGACCTTGTTTCTGCATATACATAGAGATTTTGTTATTTACTTATTTGTTATCTCGAAAACCTAGTCAGCGGCTCAACCCCACACTGATTTGTTAATTTTTTTTTTTTAATATTGATATATTTTTAATTTTCATTTAATAACTTGATTGATGGCGGCTGACACATCAATTGTATACCGTTTGGCTAGCACGATAGCTGACTTCAATCTGAGTCCTCAAGTTTATTTAACGTCTGTTTAGTCTTGGCCATATTTTAATATATAAATTTTACAAAAAAAGAATGAATTGAGATTTATTTATGCACAATATTATAGAGATATGTATCATCATCACATAGACACTAATGTTTTCATGAATATTTTTTTTGGAGGGAAATTAGATTGGATGACAAGTGTCCAATATCCATATAGATTTTTTTTGGTTTTTGTAAGGATTAATATCCATATAGATTTAGGAGTGAGAGGATGCACACATGGAACATTTTCTGGGTATTTGTTAATTCTTATTATAAACAAATAATAATGATAAATCGTTTTATGGGTATTTGAACCATGCAGTGTAGAGATTCTTTAAAGGAGCAATTAAAACGGCTTAAAAATAATCTCAAAACATAACATAATCCCTCCCAAGCAATGTTTTCAGACCCGGACCGGATTGGACGATTCGACCGGTTAAACGGTGACCCAGCAAGATTTCCGGTTTGGTTTTTGTTGAAAATCCGGAATGCTATTAAACCGCTTAAATCCTAAAAAACCCGCTTAAATTCGGTGAACCGGCAAAAACCCGACCCAGATAGGTTTTTGATTTGGAAAAAAATTCATAGTTTTATAACTTTATTTATGAATATATGATTTTTTTAAAAAATATATATATATAATTTTGAAAAACAAAATTAGAACAAGATGCAGAGCACTTAGAGTAACAGAAGATGAAGAAAACGAGGCGGTAGCAAAATCAAAAAATATTGCTAGAATTTTCTATATTATTTTTGGATTTTATGAGATAATTAATATACTTTTATTTTAATGTTTTAGTAGTAATAACAGTTTATTTTTTTTTATATTTTATTGAATGGTTTGTTACTTTCTCACCATTATACAATTGTAAATTTTATAATATCAATTTGTTTTAGTAAAAAATTAACTGTTTTTTAAAAAAAATAAATAGAAGGAAAAAGAATATATAATAAAATATATAATTATAAATATTCAAAAATATAGTTAATATGATCACTATATTTAGTGTATATTTTATTTAAATTTTATTGAAAAAAAAATTATACAGAAAAAGATATATGATAATTAATGCGATTTAGTGACAAAACTTTTTAGCAAAATTTGTATTTTTTTACACAACTGAAAAAATGTAACAAAAGTGATAAAATTTATTAAAAAACATAACAAATATATATATTTAGTTGATTGACCCAGATTGATCCAGGTTAATCCAGTGACGCGACAACCCGAAGAACACTCCGGATCGTTGTCCGGGTTGGGTTTAAAAACATTGCTTCCAAGTAAACCCAACCCATATATAAAGATATATATCAGACTTTGAAGGAAAATAAAGTGGCCTTATTAAAATAGTATCGATCATGTGAATGGGCTTTTGCGGCATAATCTTTGGGAGTCAGTTTATAACAAGAAAATCTGCTCGTTGTTTTAACGGGCTTTGTCACAAAGCTTCACGTTCAGATCAATACGATATTGTACCTCAAGGCTCAAGCATATCGTCTTTTGTCCAAAACCTTTCTAGTTTTTCAATTAAATATTTAAGAACTTAAATGCAATCTCGTTCAACCAATCTGAAAATATATCCATGACGTTTTATAAGGTTTTCGAAAATAACAAAAGATACTTGCTTTTCTAAAAGGAGAAGATTGTTTGATTAGTCGGAAGAAACTATATATCTAAAAAAAAAAAAGGAAGAAGAATCTATACTATCAATATATGATTATCATATAACATCATGAGACCATTACTTTTGCAACTTGCAAGTACCTTATTGTCTGTTGTTACCATATATATAGTTATTATGATGATTAACGGATCCATTATTTACTGGTGGATACTAATGGTATCATAAAATTAATGTCGGTGCGTATAACAATATCGTATTACCACTCATTTTCCGGTTTTCTTATTTTCTTCTCTATATACTAATTGCAGTACCAATTCGTTAAGTATTTAGTGTTGACATTGTTGTTTAATTTGTGTTTAGATGTTATAATAGAATGTCTTTAGTTTCTTCTAACCGAAAACCAGTGGAGTATGAATCCAAAGCTGCTTCCTCTTTGAGAGTGGACACAAATTTTGGGTTATTATAAAACCTGCTTATATTTCCTATTAATATTAGTTTATTGTGATTGGTGTTCACGATTAGAAACATGGAACATGAGTATGCATGTGAAGGCGACAACTTTCCATATTTACAGAAATAGAATACAAAATCTCTGTTTATTACTGTATTACAAATCAAAGAAATATAACGATGCGTATAATCATTTAAATATTTTTTTAAAAAAGTCAATTTAAATATTATATGTAAGCCACTCTTGCTATCCAATGACCTTTCGACTGGTCAAAGAGGCTCAACTATGAACCCCAACACCCCTTATACGGCCACTGCTTTTTTTGGCATATCCACTAGCATCTATCATTTTAAAATAGAAAGTCATTCCTCCATAGTTATTACTATAATGCATGTAGGTCCTTGTTCTTATTCAGTTAAATAATCAATATAACCAGCTGAATAATAGTTAAAATCAAAAGCTTACACTTAGATGGAGATGAGAAAAATAAAATCATACATTGGAATGGAGATGAGAAATATATATATATATATATATATATATATATATAATTTTTTAGATTTTGGTTAAAATCAAAAGCTTATGTATATTTTAATGAAGGTTATTTTTTTTTAAAAAATTATTTTTGATGAACACTGCGTTCTATATAATTACAATAATTAAAAAACAAAAATCATTCTAGTTCATTCCAAATTAGGTACCATGCCTTTACTGCTTTACTTAATTATTTTTTGTTACCTGTATATATAATTTATTTTTAAGTTTTTAATATGTTCACACCACACACACATATATGTTTTTTTTTTCTGAATAATACTTTATTTCTCTTCTGCCACATACACACATATATGTTTTTTTTTGTTGGAGCAAAGTATATTTAATTATTTATCTACAGAAATCTGAGTGTTTGTATATATCATTTTCCACTTGTGGTCTCTCTGACTCTCTCTCACATCCTTTTGGTATAATTAGAAAGAGGGGAACATGTTTTTGAGTTGTTGTTGAGATATTTACATCAAAACCCTCCCAACAACCATGGCCTCGCTTCCGGTGAAGCCTCTACCTTCTGGCCATGTACAGCTTCTCCGCTGGAATCTCATTACTCCGGCGGTTTCGAGAGATCCGTCAAAGGTTTCCGCCAGTTTTAAAAGCCAGCAATTCTTAGGACTCTCTTCTTATCTATGTTTTGATGAATCTGTGAGGCATATAAGGAGCCTCAGGTCTACTCGCCGGCGAGTAAGCAAAAACGCCGGCGTCTCTACGCCGGTGGCTTCTGCTGAGGACTTTCCAGCGGTTTCTTGGGATTCTTGGAAGCCAGACAAGACCACGGCGGCCCCGTCGCTGAGTGACGTCATTTGGCCTGCAGCAGGTAATTAGTAATTGATTCTGTTCACCGGAGAAATTATTATACATGTTCACTTTGTTGTAAATAGTCTAAGTTGATATTATTTCAATTCTCTTAAATTGGATTAGGTTATGAACTCGTTTTATATCATGCAAACTACGAATCTCATTTTGAAAAATTAAGGATAAGAGAAAAAAAAGGAATAAATAGGAAAATAAATTACAATATTGATTAGACAGCAATTTTCTTTGTCCGAAGAGTAGGGAAGAGAGAGAGAGAGACAGGGAGATCAAGCCTCTTCCAACGACCAAATAGCTATTGATAATAGCCTAATAGGATATGAATCTAACTGTTCGAGGTTGACCAATTCTCGATCTTAGTAAGAATTATGATTCTTAATATTCTTCTAATGTTTGTGACTTTGATTAAATTATACATTCGATAATTGTCATCGTATATCAATTTTTTTTTGGGTTGACCGCGTCTATCAAATTCTATAAATTACTTTTGGTTTTATCATTTTATATATTGTTATAAATATCTCAAATGAGAAACAAACATAGTATAAAACTATAATCTAGACATGTCATTTTGTTATAAATTTTAACATGCATGCAAAAGAATTGAATTACTTGGTTTCTTTACTGGATTATATACATATGTATGTAATCTTCATATTATGGTTTACCTTCAATCTAAAACTGGTTTTGTTTACTTTATTTTACATATAGATATATATATTTAAAAGATTAATATGTGTTTGTTAATTTTTGTATGACAAAAGGAGCGTTTGCGGCGATGGCGATAATGGGAAGAATAGATCAAATATTAAACCCTAAAGGGATCTCAATGTCGGTTGCACCACTTGGTGCCGTCTCTGCCATTCTCTTCACCAATCCTTCTGCACCTGCTGCTCGGGTAATTTCATAAAAGCGTTTCCTTTTCTTGCGTTTGAAACGCTATTTGAAAAAAAACGCAGCCTTAAATTGCAAGCTACTTTTGATGATCATAATTAACGGTGATGGGTTCATGTGTTTTTATTTCAGAAATACAATATATTCATGGCTCAAATAGGTTGCGCAGCCATTGGCGTGTTGGCGTTTTCTGTCTTTGGGCCCGGTTGGCTAGCCCGCAGCACCGCCCTCGCCGCCTCCATCGCGTTTATGATCATTGCTCGTGCCAATCATCCGCCTGGTAACTTCATTCTACTTTTTATATTTTTTCTATTTTATGAAAGTTTATAAATTTATCATTACTATAACCTTGAACTTGCATATTTTATACTTGATCATCCTAACTAGCAAGAAACTAAAATAACAATAATCAGAATTCTTAATATTCTTTTTGTAAAGGTGGCATATATGAGAACTATATATACAATAATTCTCCACGCTAAACATATATTAATAGTGCGCCAGGAAAGTCCAAAGAGAGTGGAAACTATTGTATAAAACAAAAAAAAATATATGAAAAACATATATAAAGAAAAAATAGAAATAAAAATAAAGTTATCAATAGATAGTCCTAGCTACCAATATTATTTTGAAATATGGAATCTGGAATCCCTCCCATTTCCAAATGGAAAATGAAATTAGCTCAATTGATATCATACTCCTATAATATGAGGATTTTGGAGTGAAACATGCATTATTAAAAATTAAAAAGCAATTAAAGAGTGGCAGTATTATAGTATATTGAATAGTGCAGGTTTTTCTTCCGGATTTTGGTCAAATATCGAATTCTTCCACCTTTAAAACTCTTATTATTAGCTCTTGATCAACTACGTGAGACATTGTAATCCGGAGATTGGTTTGAATGTCAATATAATTTTCCTTGTTTATAAAAGAAAAGCATGAATATTGTGTTAGGTTCTATACAATACGGAGATATTCAAGTTTCAACGGCCTCATGAATAAAACAGAAAAGATTTATAAATTTCACTTTGTTGTGTATATATATATATATATATAGGTAATTTTCTATCAATGTGTTTGGACGTTTTCTCTACGAATAATAATAGGTTCATCTTTGATATGGTTTGTATATATCTTTGAAAAAAACAGCGGCGAGTTTACCACTAATGTTTATAGACGGAGCAAAGTTACAAAAGTTGAACTTTTGGTACGCATTATTCCCAGGTGCAGCCGCTTGTATCCTCCTCTGCTTCCTCGTAAGCCTTTCCTTAAGTTACCTTCTCAATATCCTTCTCCTACATATATGTATATCTTCTCATCTGTTTTTCGTTCTCTGAAAATATTTGATTAGATGTTTAAACTTTGCAGCAAGAGATCGTGTGTTACTTGAAAGAGAACTTGAAATTTTGACGAAAGGAAAGGGACACGTGTTTATATATACATATATATACACACATATTGGTGGAGGAGATCCTGTGCAGATTTTTGATTCATGTTAGACGTTTATGGTAGATGGTCGACGTTTTCGCACCCCATATATAAGTGAATATATACAAACAAATATGTATACGTTTCTACAAAACTTGTAATTTACTTTTCTTTCCATTTTTGGTCTTTATGCTGAGCTCAATTATTTTAGTGAAATAATAATACGAATCAATGTATCATCATAGAGATATACACATGGTAGAATATCGTACGTAGAGTGTTTTCATCTTGAACAAAAAAAAAAGAAGTTACATGCAATCATGCGATCGATCAATTAATGGACGATCGTGTTTGTGTGACGGTGATTAAACTCATGATGTTCAAAATAAAAAACTCACGGAGTAAGTTATTTAGGCTTTTTTTGGATTTCTTTCCAGTATCTACGGCACTATAGCTTGCCACTAGTTATACAAAAATTCACAAAAATTTTAACGATTATCCTTCCAATCAATGGTTACAATCAACATTACCTGGTGGTTTTAAGCAAATTATATCTACATATATGATATATGTAAAGAACGATGTGATCGAATCGCTCAACTACATCATGTGGAGTCGCCAAGTTCATTCTTAAATAGCGTGGATGATTATTGAAACCTTTTCATATCAATCAAATAGTATTTATCTCATTCGCAATTAGCCATTACTCATAGCAACTTTATGAAGTATGCAAATAATTATTCTTAAATAGCTTGGATGATTATTGAAAGCTACTATATAATCACTTCTACCTGATTTAATTATTTGGTAGCTATATTTTTCATCTCTCGTAGAAGCAATCGATTATCTTATATTTAAGTAAGTTGCACAATGATCGTGAAGATGTGATCAGTGGATATGCAAAATGACTCTAGGACTCTCTATTTAGTAAACAACCAGACTGGATTAGGGAGTGAGTTTACAAAACTAACTTCAGATTGTGATAAAGGGCTGCACGTAGGTTTCGCGCGAGAAAAACATGCTATTCGTTCATTACCCAAAAAAATCACATGACATGATATGTATGGTAGTGTTAAAAACATAGCATGTATTTTAATCACACTAGTGTTTTAACATCCGGACATTATTGAGGTTAGTTTTAACATCCGGACACAAACATCAAGCTTACGCAGATAATTATTATTGAGCTGATAAGGTATACAGTATATGTTAATCCTGAAATTAATGATTTGTTCGCATGATTTGGGTGAACTAAGATAAAAAAAAAATTGGTCTTCACCTGAAAGGCTGAAACTAGTAAAGGTATCTGAACAACATTCACTACCGTTAAAGAGTTTGGACATCATGAACAATTCTTCATTCTTACCAAATGTAAAACCCCCAAAGATTGTTGTTTACTCTTCTTTATAAACCCAATTTATTTACATCGTAAGACTGTCAAAGGTGAAAATTTTCAAGGGGTGGTGGGGGTAAGGAAAACACGAGTCAAAATGATTTTTTTTTGTTTCTTCTTAAATCAGTGAAGAGTTAGTATTGAGTAGAGTTTCCATAGACTCACACTCAACACTACTCTCTCATCTCCGGGATGGAGATAGATCGGCCAAGACAGGAGGAACCCCACCATTCTCTGCAGTCTCCAGAGCGATGTCTGTGTGTACAGGGTGAATTAAAGATGATTGAGGTCTCAAAGAGTAGCTCTCGCTTTGAGGGTGGCTTCTCATGTACCGAGCTTCTGTTGTTTCCGTGTTCCCTTGTGAGGCCTGTTGTGTTTCTGAGCTCTGGAGGTTTGATAATGCACTGAGATCTAGGTCTGGAAAAACCGAGCACCGGCACCGAGGACATTTCACGTTTAAACGCAGCCACTGGTCTATGCACTCCACATGGAAATTATGTGCGCAAGGTAAACCTCTAACCTGTGATATTCAAACAAATTCCGCTCGTTATTGAGACGAGGAAATCACACAAGCACAGTATTGAAGCAAAACTATTGTTCAGTTAATCCCTAGCAATGGAGAAAATTTAGAGAATATTATGTTTAGCACCTCATGTCCAATATGGAACTCCTCTAAGCAGATCAAGCATTCGCCGCAATCATCTGGGACAGCTTTTAACCTGAACTTTGGAAGTTCTTGAATAAGAGCTTCCACAGCTTCTGTCTGTTTATCAAAGCATCAAGCATTAGATGTTTGGGATCTTGAGACGGAGATATGGTAGAAGTTAATTTCGACATAATCACAGCTCGCCAATGATATGTTCTTCGACATCATTGGTAAAGAGGATTTCTCGTTCTCTAGAGGCTAATCTCCCTCAGGTACAGAAAAATATAACTATTGAGTATGTGAGATTGAAATCAATAACGCATAGAGTAGCTTCGAGTCATATTTATCTTAGGGACAAGTTAGATGATTAACGTGCTGAGAATAAACGACCAGACTTGCCTGGGCTGGGGTCAAGTAGAGTCCAGGGTGGTATGTAGCAGCATCTTGACTTATGCCTCTCATCTCTAGGCCTGCGGCTTCAAATGCCCAGTCAGGTACCCTAATCATGTCAACTAAAATCTGGGCACAAGAAATCAGATATTGAAAAGTGTCAGAGACTAATTCCAACTTAGCACTTAGAAAAAAATCATAATAACCAACTGCGAAAATGATCTTCTTGTATAACAGAACTGAAGCTGAATAAGCGGATCCTGAAACCTACCCCGAACTCTGAAATAGGAATTCCCTGCTGAGCACGTAATACGTGTACTTGTCTTCGCGCCAACCACTATCAAGTAAACTCATATAAGTCGGGTTTCCTCTTCAGACCAACCAAGAAAAAGCTTGATAAAAAATATACCTTTCCGACACAGATGCAAGCAATGCAGAGGAGGCCACAGTAGCTGAACATCAGCCAAATGAGGAAACCCCACTTTTGGCCTTCTTCAGGTAACTATCGCAAGGGAAATACATAATACCTCAGCATCAGGATTTGCAACAAGCATAATCATATGACATGATGATCATAAAAACTGCTTACACAGCTTCTTGCTTTTCTAAACCAGATTGTTCCGATTACAGTCCAAGCCCACAGAAATGGATACAGCAGCAGAGATAGGAGAGACAGGACCACCACTCTCCCACAAAACCCGGCGTTTCGCTGTTGACTTCCAAAGTCCCTAATAGACAAAATGTTCATACCAGAAATCAATGTGAAATAAACTAACCAGACAATTCATACAACTTTGCTACCTAGCAAGATTTAGACACGTTGCATATAGCTAATTCTGAGGTCAAGCTTGCAATTCTAAAGATAATTAACCCAAAGTAGTGTAAGATTCTACTCGACTGTAACTGCATATATAGTTGATGTTACCAATCTACCATATTTTGTTTCATAATCGAATCCTTTTCAATGAATTACATGCTTATCTGAGGAATAAGGGTAGCCAAGAAGAACAGATTAAGCAAAAAGATTATACTTTTAATAACAACTCCAGGAAAATCATGAAGATTCCAAATTTTCAACACGTTCAAATTCACGGTAACTCTATGACTATGGAACTTAAGATGGGACTTACAAGCCAAGTCCAGCAGCAAGACCATTGTCAACAAACATGAAGACGCGGAAGATAAACACGGTGGTGTAATCGACCTGAAGTAATAAAGACAAACAAAACCGTGAGAAAAATAACAAATTTTTAAGAGTCCAATGAAAGGAAAACAAAAGAATATGAAGCTGGTCATAAGAAAGGGCAAGAAAAAGTAGTTGAAGTGAGGCACCTACCACTATCCATATATGCAACGGGAAATGGCACGATTGATATCTCTTCCAATTGATAGCCACAATGATTCTACAACGCAAAACCCATTAAGGAAACGAAATCGAGAAGTTATCTAGATCACCTTAAACACTAGTATAAGAAGACAATTCAGTACTAGTTCCTCGAATCCATGAGAACCAAAACTAAAATCGGATCTTCAGGAAAACGAAAAAAAAAAGGAACAAGGAGAAGAAGTAAAATTAACTCACGGGATTGAGAAGTTTCAGCTCGATCCAAGCAAGAACAAACAAATTGTAACGGAAAGAAAAAAAAAATCGCTGAATCGAACAAGCAGAGATATATAAGGATACACACTAGTTGCAAGCATCGACAAGAAGAACCCATCATACCTGCAAAAATTCATAACCCACAAAATCAGAAACCCCCAAAAAGTGAAGACACAAGACAGATACGAAATGGGATTCGAAGATCAAAATCGAAATTCGTCTCCTTTAGATCGACCCAAGTAAAAAGAAGAATGAAGGAGAGCTCACCACTTGAAATCGACACCTCTCATCGCCATGAGAGAGGTGGAAGGGAGTTAAAATCCGAGAATCCGAGAGAAGGGGAGAAACCCTAAGAAACTTTAAATATCAAAATGCTTGAATCGAATCAGAAATAGGAACCTGAATCATCAGCTGATGCCAGTATCTAGCGGATTTAGGATCGTCGACTGAGAAAGGAGAAAGAGGGATTTTGGAGCCAAAGTAAAGTAGAGCAATTGCGATGGAGTAAAATGGAAAATTAAACGGAAACCTCTGGCTTAACAAGAAGGATTCCCGATTTGACAGATCAGGTTGGTTCAAGTTTAAGGAAAAAAACAAAAGATTAGTACTTTATTAGGTTCATCTTATATAATAATCTAACCTAACAATTCGTCTTAATTTAATTTCCCTACAAGCTCTCTGTTACATGATTAATTTTACAAAACAAAATAAAGGTATCATACAATAATTAATTATATTTTTTCCGATGATAGCTCATTCTAAAAGAGGAAAGTTATTTATTTAAATATCGAAACTCAAATATGTTATAAGTTATATAGATATTAATTTAGTTAATGAACCAATTTTTGGAATGATTTTTTTATTAATCTATCGAACATTAATTTATAAGAAAATTTACTGTATTTGTTGAATATTAAAAATCAAAATCAACACAATTTCTTGATAATTTGTAATCAATTTTATAACATTTATATTGTAGAAGTTAGATGAGAAGGTTGTATTCTGTGATCAATGTTACTTTCTGAAGGTTTTTTTAACCATCAAATGTTGAGGTATATAATAAATAAATAAAAATTAACCTATCTTTTTTTTCCCCAAGGAAAACATGTCCTGTAATTCCGATAGAATCTGTAAATAATAATTAGCTCCAGCCTCCATGTAATATTCAATTTTCCACAAATTATATAAACCAAAACACAAGGCTAATTGTAACAGCTATTATATGATATACGAGGGGAAACAAGTTACAAAGACTTTACAGTGAGAGCTTGATTACACAATTATTACAGTGTATCACAACGAACCGTTACTCTTTAAGTAACAAACCCTGGTCTTAAATTTTAGAGTCTATTCTTTTATTCAACAATTTATGATAGAAAGAAACTCCAGAGATAGGATCAGATCCAGGCAGGGTTATTAAGAGGAGTGACAACTGCCTTGACCTGCAAGTAATTATTGAGACTGTAAATGCCTTTCTCTCTTCCATTGCCACTCATCTTGTAACCACCAAAGGGAATGGCTGCGTCAAAGACGTCGAAGCAGTTAACCCAAACGGTTCCAGCTTTCAATGCCCTCGAAACCCTATTCGCAGTGTCCAGGCTCTTTGTGAATACCCCTGCGGCTAGACCGTACCTCGTCTCGTTTGCCCTCTTAATCACCTCATCCACATCCCTAAATATCAAAACATCCTAAATCATCATCTTCACTAAACTGTGACTTGTGTTTTGGTTACTAGATTTGTAGCAGCTCTACGTACCTGAACTTCAAGATTGATTGGACTGGACCGAAAATCTCGTCTTGAGCGATAAGCATGTCGTCCTGTATATTTGACCGAGAGGGATATATCACGGTTAATGCCATAGAGAATCGGAACAGAAGACCATTAAAGAAGTCTTTTATTACCTTAACGTTAGAGAAGACTGTAGGTTGAATGAAGTAGCCTTTTTTCCCAAACTGGTCACCACCACATTCAAGAGTAGCATTGCTTTCCACACCTGACCTTATGTACTTCATCACTTTCTCGAATTGTTTTAAATCGATCTATTACAAAGAAAAATCCAAATCAACAAAGGAAAAACAAAGAAGAATCCTTTTGATGTTATAAAGAATGTGTAGGTGTAACCTGAGGACCCTGTTCAGTGCCTTTCTTGAAAGGATCACCAACCACACGTTTCAATGCGCGTGCCTTTGCTTTCTCAACAAACTCATCATACACTTTCTCATGAACATATGTCCGAGACCCCGCGCAGCAACATTGCCCCTAACAAAAACATTACATTTAACATTACCTCAAGAACTAGCTAAGAAATTGAGTAAGCAATGTCAAGTCTTGAAAAAAACCTGGTTGAAGAAGAGAGCAAAGTGTGCAAGCTCTACAGCTTTATTGATATCAGCATCTTCAAATACTATGAACGGCGATTTCCCTCCAAGTTCCAGAGTTACCGGCTTGAGATTGCTGTTAGCAGCCAATCCAAGTATAACTTTGCCTGTATCAGTCGATCCTGTGAAAGCAAGCTGCAGGAAAAAAAAGAACATAAACTTAGTCTCTTAAAGAAGTTTAAGAGCAAGCAAATAGAGATATCTCATATCTCTACCTTGTCTACATCCATGTGACTCGCGAGGGAAGCACCTGCGGTTGGACCGAATCCAGAAACTATATTCAGAACACCTGGAGGAAGACCCGCCTATATCATAAACATTAAGAAGCATTGTTAGTGATAAAAGGCTTTTTCTTTTCCTAGAAACAATGGAAAGTAGACGATGATATATGTATCTTACTTCAAGGAAAAGCTTGCCAACGTAGAAAGCAGTGAGAGGCGTTTGTTCAGCGGTTTTGAGGACAATGGTGTTACCACAAGCAAGAGCAGGACCAACTTTCCAAGCAAACATCAAAAGCGGAAAGTTCCACGGAATGATTTGTCCAGCTACTCCTATCGGTTCATGCAGTGTCTGGACATGATAGTTTCCATCAGCTGGAACTGTAAGCCCATGAATCTTATCCGCCCATCCTATAAATCAAGAATGTTCATCCACAGAACTTAACAGCAAAAACAAGAAAAATTTCAGAGAATTCTCGAGATTTTTCGGTTAATGATTTCAAAACCAGCATAGTAGCGGAACAATCTTGCGAGCATTGGAATCTCTGATGTTTTGGCTTGCTCATAAGTCTTCCCATTGTCCCATGACTCTAGTGACGCGAGCTGTTCGCTGTGTTTCTCAACAAGATCTGCGAACCTCAGCATTATCCTTGACCTTTCCTGAAATTCCAAACCCAAAATGCCAACCAGACCATTACAGATTATAAAGTTCACAAATTTCAAGACTCAAGAACAGTGTTATTCATATATATACATAAGCAGTCATCTTAGGCCAAGGTCCTTCATCAAAGGCCTTCCTTGCAGCTTTCACAGCTCGATTGATATCTTCAGCATCACCTTCAGCTACGTGAGCAATGACTTCGCCTGTGCGCGGATCAAGAGTTGGAAACGTCTTACCTAAACCCCCAAACCCCAAAAACCAACCATTAGTGGTCATGGAAACTGAAATCTCAAGACTTTAAAAACTTTGCCTTCCTCTGTTACTGAACAGAACACTTTAAAAATGAAAACTTTACCCACCAGAAGCAGCGTCTACGAAGTTCCCATCGATGAGGAGCTGTGTGTGAGAAACTTGAACCGACGGGCTTATGATTTCTTCAGCTGCAGAAGAGGTTCCGAATCTCCTTGCGATCCTACTTCCATTGTAACAATTTCTCCCTGAAAATCGTCTATGTTTAACACTAGATTTCGCCTAAGATCCAGACATCAAATCATCTAATTTCCGGTCTATTTTATTGGTATACAACTCACTGAACTTGTGCTAACTTCCCCCACATGAACGTGATTACCAGTATATTTAAAACATACTTGAATCCATCTATTACAATTTTACAACTAAGTTGAAACAAGAACACGTTTTTATGGAGATTCACTGAATCAGAGCAGAGACACAGATATATAGAACAGGAGTTAGTTTTGTATGTATGAGTTACCTTGAGAACGAAACAGAAAAGGAGAGGAAGCAGAAAAGGATCGATATAATAGAGAAGACACTCTACGAGCTGCCATGGATGCAAACTTCAAAGTTCTTATCTTTTTTCTTGGGTTTATCTCTCTCTCTCTCTCTCTCTCTCTCTCTAATGGGATTTATATTTTGATTTCAACGACGAAGAAATTAACGGTGAAGATCTCACACATGTCGCTTAAATTGCACTCTCTTGGTGTGGTGTTGCCGTACTTTGAATGGCTATTGACTAGTTTACGTATTGTCCGTTTTCCAATAAACTAAAAAATTATTACTGTCAGATAATATTTTTATTTTATAAGATATGATGAAAATAATATTGTAAGAAAATAAGAAAGAGATTATTTTTTCTTTAAATAAGACAAAGACCTATGCGTTGTCCGTTTTGCAATTAAGACAAAAAGATCTCTGATTTTACAAATATTTTTATTTCTTCCATTTTAGCTCCATCTGCAGAAGAAAATTAATTAACTTTGGATATAATTGGAAAATTATATAAATATATATTTGTCTATAATTGAAAAATTATACTTAAAAGAAATATAAGATGATGCAATAGTTCATAGTTGCATGTTATGGTGTGATGTCGTTATCTAAGCGCGGTAGTTGTGTCATTTCTTCTATATGTTTTCATCTTTCTTGTAATTGTAGTTTTGTAGTCCGTTGACTGTTGATAAATGAAGAAAACATGATCTGATTTTTCTTATATTCTACAAGCCTAAAAATAAGGAGGTTTTATATTTGACTGCAGTCGGAAAAATCTACTGCGCAAAAGATTACTAATCAAGAAAATGATTGTAGTTTCGAAAAGACAAATGATTAAATTTGGGAAAAAAATGTGAGACACAGAAGCAGCGGAAGAAATCGGCGTTTGGGATCATTGTTAATACTGGAGCGCCAAATTAGTTTTTATTTCTTATGATTGTATTTATATATAATATGCAAAGATTTTTTCACCCAAAAATATATATTACTTAGACGTTTATGTAATTGTAAGTATGTATACTTTCTTAGAAATTAGTATAGTTTTATTTCCATCATATGTGCGATTGTTATTGAACTGTTAATCTTATATTTTTCTAATTAGATATCTTTAAAATGATTTGAAAAGTTGAACCATAACAAAATAAATATCTATCAAACTTAATTGTGAAACCTACTAGGCTACTACTATCACAAAATAAGTCAATCCCCCAATAAAAGCGCTAGTAATAAAAGCTGTAGGAGCCAAGTATGCGTTGGATAGAAATCGACATGTCATCGACCAGACACAATTACTTTTAATCTGTAACAATGTCTCTTTATATACCTGATTAATAATATTGCTTACAACAAATCAAACCAGTACACGTCTGATGAAAAATCCTAAATGCACTGCTTCACAAATATAAAATCAGAAGAATCCTGGATCCTCGGGTTTAAACATTTTAGGCATCTTCAAAGTCGGATCATCAGGATCAATTCTTGTAGACCCTCTTTGGTTCCCTAAAACACCTCTCTTCGTATTAGCCGCAAACTTAGACGCTAATATCGTCGCATTCAAATTCTGATTATTGCTGCTGTTTTCATCTACGTTGTTACTACTTTCCGGCATGTTCTCTCCATATTGATATCCTCCATTATCGTTATCATCATCATCATAATAGTAATCGTCTCCTTCTTCTTGCATAGCTAACTCCATAGCTAACTTTCTCTTCCTGTATCGTCTCCACGCAGCTTGTATAAAACAAGTTCCCCAAGCTCTCCATTGATGCGAATAGTACCTGATCAAGAGTCAAAACGTAAAAAAAAAAAAAATCAAGAAACTCTAGCGTGTAAACCAAGAAACTTTAATTGCCTGTGAAGCAAGAAACGATCTATATATTACCTGAAAGCATGTTGAAGTTTCTTGCTGTGGAGGCGTCTGAATTGGTTAGCTACGAACTTCAAGTCCTCTGCTCGGAGAGCAAAAGCTTCTACTTCAGAGAGAGTCCTCACAGTTCTTGTGGACAAAGGGAGATTAAGGTTAACGTTTGGCATTAAAGCCCAAGTTAAGAGCTCTTCACCACAGAAATCTCCTGGTCTAAGCGTGATGGAGTTAAAGAATCCTGACCGTCCACCATCTGTAGTAGAACTCTCCATCTGACCTCTAATGATGAAAAGCATCTCGTTTACAGGATCACCTTCGCGGATCACGTGTGTATCTTTAGTGTTCAACGACGGAACTAAACGCTCGCAAATTGCGTCTAAGAGCTGGTCATCCATCTGTGCAAAGAATGGCACCTGGTAAAGAAACCAAAAATGTAGAATTAGGGTTTATAACTTGAGTAGAAAGTAATCAAAGTGTGGGGTTCCATGTGGCTTACACGGCGAACTAGGGCGAGACAGAGATGCCGTTGGATCTGTCTACGAAGATCCAATGGTAGTGCACGGAGGATGGCTTCTTCGTCGACTCCACGAGTGGTTAACCATTTGTATTGAACGAAACGCCTCACACGCTCTTGTAACTCCGGTGGCAATTGTCTGTGTCTCATCCATTCCTCTGTATCTCTTCTTCTGACTCTCCATTCGTCTAACCTAGCCGTGGTCGATTGTAGATAGTTCTTCAAGAAATTTGAAATCACTTAATAAGTCTCCATTGTTAAGTTATATAGGGAGAGAAATTGTATATGCATTGAAGAATTTACCTGAACATTGCCAATGAGATGAGAGAAGAAAACAAGACCAGCGACACATATGAAACAACTGAATATAGTCTCACTACTCAGTGTACTCGCTGCAAGACTCTGTCCATAAGAACTACATCAACCGAAACAACGAAACATCAGTATAGAAATTGCAAACATCCGTGGTTATATTTGATTCAAGATTAACCTAACCTGAGATTGCGGAGACCCCACCAAAGGCAGTAGAAGTATTTATCAAAGAAAGGAGAAGAAGTGACATCATTAGTGAAGGCATCACCAAACATACCAAACTGGAAATGTTGGTCATCATCATTACGTGCATCACAATTAGAGAGAACCCGAGTGATGCGCATCCAAGCTTGTCTACCTGGATCCTGCAACGATCCACAGTCTAGAAACAAGAGACTACACGAAGGTGAATGCGTTGCGTTCATCTCCTTAGTACATTCTCTTGTCCAGCATTCGTGCTGTCTCTGGATCGACAAAACGTACCAAACCGAGCCAAGAACCTAAAAAGGAAATGAAAATTGTGAAACAGAGGCATTGTTAGGTCACGATGGAGTAAGAGAAGGGGTTACTTACGTGGCTAACAAGTAAGTAGAGGACGAGATTGTAGGCTGCACCAGACCAGGCTGTTTTGGCTGCGACTCCGGTGGCTTTAATGATCCGACGGTTGAGAGGAAGCATGACGAGGAAGCGAGGCACGTATTGTATAAGTACGATCAAGGAAAGCGTGTGGTTCTGATGCGCTGCGTATCTGAATTCTCCAGCATTTGGTATCACAAACCAAATCATTATCTGATAAAAAACAGAGAGACTTCATTTTGCAGAACAGATCATATATCATCAATGAATCACACGTTTTCATTTTGATCCATTGAGTACCTGAGGAAGAGGAAGCGCGGCGGCGAGATCGATGACGAACTCGGATTTGAGGTAACGGACAGCGATTTCACGGCGATCCACGACGAGCTCGCCACGACCAAAGACTCTAGAAGATTTGGAGACAAAAGCGGTTTTGAATTTGAGGAAAACGTGGATGAGGAAGAAGAGATCGGCTAGGGTTCGGAAGAAGGTGACGAGGATGCCGAAACGGACGTCGATGGACATACAAGCGGTTCCGGCTTGGACGATGGGGAGATAAAAGTAGAGAGGGTCGAGGAAGAGAGCGAGGAGACAGGTGATGAGGAAGATGTGGTTCCATCTCGTGATTAGGTCACCGCCTGGATCGAGGGTTTTGTCACCGAGCTCGGAGAAGATAGATCGGCGGCGTTGGCTTTGGAGGTCGTTATTACGGTGACGGAGGGAGAACGCAGTCGGAAAATTGCGGAAGCGTGCGGAGGTGTAGAGGTGGAGGCTGCTCATTTCCAGGTTGCGTGTGGTTGAAGTTAATGGAAAGGGAGAGATTTGTGGAAGTAAAAGAATGAGATAATTTTGGAGACAGTTAAGGAGAGGAGAGAGACTGTGTGTGTGTGACTCTCACGAAAATAATCAAATACTTTTTGAGTAATATAAATGTATAAAAAATATATATATACAGGTGACGTGTTACATAAGTATCCTATGTTTGACCTAATCTTGATTAAAAATATAAAAATTGTGTAACCAATGGGTTGATTACAGCTTAATATAAAGTCACAAAACCTTTTCAACTCTGTTTCGACTCTTGTGGGATGGAAGTTGAGCGAGCAGATCCGGAGCCGGAGAATAACTCCGATCCGCTTCTTGGTCACTCTCCTTGCTGTTCTTGCCTCTCCGGCGATTTTCAAAGCAACCATGGCCAGGAGCCACGGTGGTGGGTACGGGCGATTCTGAAGATCAGAGAGTGGTCGGAGATCGTAGCTGGTCCACGGTGGAAGACTTTTATCCGTCGAATCAACGGCCATCGACGCCGACGCCGTGTTTGGCACGATAGCGCCAAGTACGATCCTTTGAGTTACAAGTTGAATTTCGAGGATGAAGAAGAAGAAGACGACAAAGCTGGATTCAGGAGCTTCTCGATGCGATACGCTTCTGTCCCCGTTGTTTCCGGTAAAGCTCCAGCCTTGAAATGATGTCTCAGGATAAGCGTTCTGCGTTTGGACTTGTGGCGGTGACGGCGTTTGAAAAGGTCTCTCGCGTCATGAGTTTTTGCGTTTCCTTTGTTTATTTGTTGTATACGTCAAGTTTGGTTTGAAAGTTACTCTGATCACGTGAATAGTATAACGAGGGTCTTAATATTTTTGATTGTATAATTTTACTGTTATTTCAGGATGGTTTGTTGTAGGAAAGAATATGATAAGTGGTTATTGAACAAGATATGTGTTTTCATTTCAATATTTTGTTCATGATTGAATTGATTCAGCTCTTAAATCTGCTGCCAAAACGAATGTTTACTCTGTTTTTCCCTTTGCACTTAAATCTTAAAACAATAAAGAAAATAAGGGAATATAGTGTAAAACTCATGAGTGAAGTAAAATCTATACAAAATAGAATGAAGTAAAATCTCAAATTTCCATGGCTTCGTGTTCTGCTCCTTCTCCAGTAGCCACCTCTGTGTTTGCAGGCACACTGAACATGTACTGGCTCTGATTCTCAACCAAATACTGCATCGATCTCTTTGTGTCTAAAAACAATCGATAAACTCTCTCAATGTCCTCAGTCTCCACGACCTTCCCTTTACGTTTCATGGAAGCCAGAGCAGCTGCATTGATTAGATGAATTGCGTACCTAAGCGAGGTATCACGTCCTATCAAAGTCAGAAGCTGTCTCGCCTCCTCGTTCATGTCGACGTCTTCTTCCTGGCACCGGATCTCCAAGATCTTTCTGATCTCATCTTCTGTGTAAGGTTGAGATGTGATGATGAGAAGACGGTCGAGGAGATCGATCGGGATCACATGTGCTGATCTCTGGTTTGTTCCTCGGATTGTTGTCACTCCTCTGTTCGTGGCCACGACGAGGATTGGAGACATGTCGTTTTCAAGGGCTCGGTTCAGGAAAGAGAAGCATTCGAAGTCGAGCATATGGACTTCATCGATGAAGAGAACGCTTGAGTCAAAGCCTCTGTTTTCGACATGTCGAGAGAGAAGAGCTCGCTTCCTGCGATCATGGTGAAAGGGGCTTCCTTCCAAGCGATTTGGCCATACCCATCGCAATCGCGGTTTTACCCGTTCCGGGTTGACCGCTAAGAGGATTGCCCGGCCGGCAATTTTGCCTTATCATCTCGACGATTACTCCTGCGGCTTTGCGCGCTTTCACTTGACCCACCATTCCTTCCGATACAGCTCGTGGCTCGAGCGCTGAGTCTAGACCTAAGCCTTGTATGTGAGAGTGTGCTCCGATTCGCTCTAATCTGGTCAAGTCTCGACTCTCCGCCATTCTCGGTTGTTTACTCGCCGGCTAATGGCTATTGAGGCGGCGGAATGAGAGAGGCTTGGGGTTTTGGGAAGGGTTTATTAATTAGAGGTATGATTTATACAAAGATTTTAGAAATTTACAGGAAAAAAGAAATTTTTTTGACCCGATATACAGTATTTTCTTATTTAAGAGGGAGGGCCAGAGAAAAGTTTTCATTTTTCTTCTTTGTTCAACAACATTCCTCTTTTTACTCAACGATACATACACAAAGGAAAGAATCAATGCCGGTGATGGAGCTGAGGGGAGGAGGAAGAGATATCTGGGCTGGGTTGAAACTGCGATTTTGAAAAAAGCTGGGGGATTTTTGAGAAATTTCAAAATTAAGTGGAAGATACCGAGGAAGACGATGATCAGAGCAAGTACAGAGAAAACACCAAACACAAAACAGAGATTATAGAGCTTGAAAATGGATCTTTCTGGTTCATAAGAGTTATTGTTGCTGCAGATAATGATTTAGGTGAAAGAGCTTATGTTTCATGAATTTCAGACAGATAAAATCACCCTACGCATTTTGTTTTCCAAAGAGACGCAGCAGTTTTGAGTTTGGCTCAGTTGATCGGTCTAAAGGAAACAAGAATCCAGTTTTAAGAACTTTGCTTGAAAGATAATAAAAAAATTTGGCAGATAGAGTAACAAAGATTTTCCGAGAATCTCCTCAAATCAATATAATCAATACACTTTTTTAGTTCTTAATTATTCAAATCATGTGATGTGCCCTTACAAGTTCTAAATCCTAGCAAGACCACAGATGTCTACTCTCGGAACGAGTGAGCACATACCTCTCCCCGCGCAATCTCCCTGAGTGTCATCTCATTTATGTTGAAGAACAAGTAGTTGCAGCTCATTTCTTCCACGGATTATCACCATAGTAATAGGCGGTTCCAACCATTAAAGCGACTGTAGCACCCTGGACGACCACTCTAGCTCTCATCAAAACCTGACCCATCTGAGAATTGCCTCTTCTGAAACTAATCAGCCCAGCCGTGAGCACTCCCGCAGTCATAAGTGCGCCTGCAATGAGTATTAGCAAGGAATGATCAGTTTTGACCAAGGAAAACAGTGGAGCATATCCAGAGAGCATAAACCAATTCCAAATTTGAGTATTCCTCAATAATTATCTCATCGGAACACTTTCCACATAGTGGAAGCCATGGCTTTTGTCACTGATTGAAACAATCAGTCTTCATACTTGAATAAACATGGAATTGCTAGCTGAGGTCCAAGTTACAATTTTTCATACAATTTAACATAATGTAAGAGCAATTCCAGAAGCTGATATCATAAACGAAGATGTTCTCACTGATTTCAAGTGTGTTTGCAGCTTCACAACAATCACTTACATCTATTATGATGTATGTTGTCCATATATATCTACCATCTATTATGATGGTTCACTGAATCATGAAACTTGAGATTCTCAGGGGCATAGAAAGAAACTCTGGTACAACACAGATCATTCATACCGACTCAAATGTGCAACAAAGACCCAAAATTGTATCTCAAATACATAGCCTTTTACTCAATTTAGAACGAGAACGAGGAACAAACTCATCTCCCATTTGATAAGCTGCCGAATTAGAGAATCCAAACTTTTGAATCCTATGATTCTGATTATGAATCAAAGAGAACAAGTAATTGTGTTCATAGATCGGACAGATAAACCAATCTATACATTCGAGGCCTAGAAAAGAAATGTTCGATTTTGGAATTGAGATCGAAAGAAATAGCAAATGACTGAGAGGTGCGAAAACGAAGACTAACCGAGAGGAACGAGAGGATTCCTGACCCGCTTCTTCTCCTGGAACAGATCTTCCATGTCTGGTTCTACCGAACTCATCTTCTTTCTCGATTAGGGAGAGAAGCAATGCGAAAACTAAGAAGGAAGAGGAAGAAGAAAAGAAAAAAAAGAAGAAGAAGAAGAGAACAAAGTATAAAGGCAGACACGCGTGGCTTGTTCGTCACCAGAGACCGTGAGACGACGGGGCGGTTCGGCGAAACGGGTCGGTTAACAGCTCATATAAATGGGCTCGGGTCGGGTTTAAGAGTGATGAAAAATTTTAAATGGGACCACACAAAATATAATCTACTGAGCCCTCTTATCATTAACAAAGTGTTGACAATTGAGAATTAACTTCATTTAGGTAGATTCGTTATGTGCTAAGCCAATCAGTCTGATTAATCATTTAACATTTGCCAAGCATATTCTACATAGATGAAAATTTTATCCAACAAAATGACAGTGATTTATATAAAAGGACTTAATTAGTTGTGGATGCTAAACCAATATGTACATTAGGAAATGAAAAACTTTTTGAATAGCCGCATATTAAAGACATTTTGTTCTATGTATCAGGAATTACTAAATTTTTTAAAAATGTGAAATCATTTAATGAATCCACAACCTTTATATATATATATATTATGTTAAAAGATTTCAATCGACTCGACCCTAAATGCATGAATTGTACACTGGATTGACATATCACTTACAGAGTCAAAACTACTAAAACTTGACTGACAATGTGAAAGTCAGCTCCAATGATACGTTCATTATTGAGAATATAGCGGCCTCTGATTCTCTAGACTAGAGACAAAATGGTGTAGTCGCCAATAACAAGAAATATTTTTATTCAGGAAATTATTTGTTTGTTGACTATCACATCATTTCCAATTATCTACTTTCTATTTCCTGTGTTTTGTTGACTATCACACCATTTCCAACCATCCACTATATAAATAATTTATAAATAAAAACAAAGAAGTACCACACTTGAGTTTTGACATTGGTGACAGTCTCATTTTGTCTCCAATCTAACAAATCAGGATCACCATGTTCTAATAAATGAACGAATCATTGGAACTAACTTTCACATTGTCATCAAATGTATCTTTCATTTAATTTTCATTTGAGTACAAGTGTGGGGGTGGAAGAACTCCATGACTGTTAGATTTACAAACTGATTCAACTTCAGTTTGTACGGTTTTTTCATTTTGTTGATGTTGAGAATGTGTTTTGCATTCTCTCGGAATATTTCAAATATGTTGTATCTTTCATCAAGGTCGTTCAATGGTATGAAGTGGTGGCTCCTCCACTTATTGTATAGTTTTAGTAAGTTTTTTTTCATTCTGTAGATTATTTTCATCGTAATAAAATCTACAAATAGTTTGAAAAAAAGAAAGCTAAACGACTGTTTTATCATCTTTTTATTTCTTTTTCTTTGATGATTAATTTTTGTAAGTTGAAAGATTAGGAAATGGATGTAAAGATGTATGTTGGGAAGAGAAGACTAATATATAGCTCTGTGAGGAGTTTAGATTTTCATTTGGTTAACTTTTAAGTTGATCACATTAAGTTTCTATATAAGTATTTAGTTCATCACACACATTATATGGGCAACTATAGTATTATAATATAATTTGTAAGTTGGACACATAATTCCAAGTGGTGTATGGATCAATTTAAATACTGCACTGAAAAAGTGTGATCATCACTGAAAATGCTTAACATTAAATTACCGACATCATAATATTATTGTTTTTGCATCTGGACAGATAAAGCAAACTACAACATAATCTTAACCTGCCACGTTTGATTTGTCCCATCTGGGTTGAACCTACTTGAAAAGTTAAACAGGCTTTTCCATTTAATACAAATGACGTTTCTGAATTCGTTAATGTTTGGTTGATATCAAACTGGGTGGTATAAATAGTATGTGCATTCTTTGGAGAGCCAAAATAGTATGTGTATTATTCTTTCTATAAATAAAAAATTAAATTTGAACTTTTAAAATGGCAAAAACACAATGGTTGCAAATGAATCGTAATTGCGTTGATTGTGTTATTGTCAAAACAATAGTGTTTTGACTTTTGATAGTCTGATTTTTTTTAATTCCTGGCCGTTTTTAGATCAATATTAATCTTACATTATTTTGACAGCTTTTTTTTTTGTTAACTCATTGTTTTGACAGTTTTAAATATTTTTTTTTACATTTTCTTTTTAGATATTGATATTATATTTGATAACATTTTGATCTAGAGCTCATTTTATATGTTTCATCCAAATTTGTAGATCGGGAACTTGAACGGGTACACACGGTCCATCACAATTCCGTTGCACCCTTTTGAATCGGCAATGCCTCTCTCAATCCAAACATAATCCCCTTTCGAATCTCACTGGTTTCAAGTATTTTTTTGCAGCTTCACAACAATCACTTATATCTATTATGAATGTATGTTGTCTATATATATATTCCATCTATTATAATCATTCACTGAACAATGAAACTTGAGATTCTGATCTGACGCATAGAAAGAAACTCTGGTACAACACAAATCATACATACCGACTCAAATGTGCAACAAGACTCATAATTTTAGCCTTTTACTCAATTTTAGACTCTAATTGGTGACCAAGGAATGAGAAAGAATAATGAAATTTCTCTTTATTCCTTAAAAATACACTATTTTTATAGAATTTATTTTTACACATTCTTCTTCATTCCTAAAAAATACACCATTTATGAAAAATATTTTTACATATTGTTCCTTGTCATTCCTTCATTTATAAAGAATTATAGAACAAAAAATATTCCTCACCAAATTTGATAAGGAACAATAAGAAAAAGACATTCCCATTATTTAATTCATCTTCATTCTTTTTCTATTCATTCCTATTATTCTTTTAATGGTCACCAATTGGAGCTTTAAAATGATAACGAGCAATAAACTCGACTCCCATTTGATAACCTATCGAATTAGAGAACCCAAAATCTTGAATCCCATGATTCTGGTTATGAATCAAAGAGAACAAGTAATTGTGTTCAGAGATCAATTATGATTATGATTACTATGCCCTCTTATCATTAGCAAAGTGTTGCCAATTGAGAATTTAACTTCATTTAGATAGGTTCGTTACCTCGTTATGTGCTAAGCAATTCAGTCTGATTTAATAATTTGATATATATATGCCCCACTAATATTCTACATGAGATGAAAATTTTATCCAACAAAATGACAGTAATTTAAATATAATGAATTAAGTTAGTTATGGATGCTTTTTTTTTTAAACTTCAAATTGCATTAGTAGATTAAAAGGCGGAAACAGAGTTTAGACAGGACTGCAGAGCCTGTTTAGCCAAGGAATCAGCCAGCATATGTATTCAAAGGAAATAAACAGAAAAGCTAGAAGATAAAATCTTGATGTCATGAAGAACTTCATAGATGTCTTTGTGGGATTCTCCAGATCTGATGAAGCCGATAATAGTCAGCGCATCTGATTTTAACTTCAAATGGATCCAACCGCGATTGAGAGCAGCTTGTAATGCTGCTCTGGTTTAGTTGTGGATGCTAAACCAGTACATTATGAGATGAAAAACTTTTAAATTCTTTTGCATAGCCGCATTAGGGACCTTTTGTAAAGCCTATGTATCAGAAATTATTCTGAAAATTATAAAAAATGTGTAAATCATTGAATGATCCACAATCTGTTTAATAAAATATATAGATTAACAAGTTATGTTAAAACAAAAATTTAACCGATTCGACCGTAAAGGCATGAACTATATCTTGGATTGACTTGCCACTCACAATCTCAAAACTGCAAAGCTTTCAAATTTTTGTAAAACCACAAAAATGGACAGACAAAATTAGCTCTGGAAGCATGTGTACAAGCTCGTAATGAGGGACGTGATCTTGCAGTCGAGGGTAATGAAATTATCCGAAGATTTTGGGTTTGCTCATTATGAGCAAATTTTATCTGGTCTAGTTTCTACCTTTCCAGTCATTCTTGATACAATTTTTAAATATTGGACTGATTATATAAACGGTAATAAGTAATAATAAACGATTAAAATATGAACTAAAGTCAGATAAACAGTTGCAGAGGAAACGATATGAAACAGAAAGAAAGGAGGAACAAGAGGATTGAAAAACGTTTTAAGAAACCCGAAGAAACGCTGAGGCGAGATTTCTCTCTTTCCTTAACTCAAATGAATCGCCCGATAGTGTGACGGTTCTGTACGATTCTTGAGTCCCAGGATACAACGCGCATGAGACCGTTTCGCAACACTCGAAAACGGAATCTATGAACTTAGAAAAATACTACGCTATACTCTCGGAACTTACTTAAACGAAAGAGAGAATGTTGGAAATTTTCTGTGTATTAAACTTGGTGAGAAATGAGGAAAGGGAAGGCTTTCTTATATAGCCAAGAGAAGAGCCCGTTTTGATTTTGAAGTCAAACGAAATCAATTATTCCGTGAGACTCGCTCAGAATAATTGACTGGAGTAAATGGTGATCGTGGGCGAAAAATCTGGAACGAATATTTTTTAACGGAAATATTTGAACAGATTTCTCCAAAAAATACATGTTTGTTTTGACCCAAACATTTATCTGAGTCTGGCCCAAAAAGATAGTTAATGGGCCGGAAGCCCTCTACCAAGAGCCAAGAGCCAAGAGCCACCAGCCACGAGCCAGCCACGAGCCAGCCACGAGCCACGAGCCACGCGCCACGCGCCACGCGCCACGCGCCACGCGCCACGCGCCACGCGCCACGCGCCACGCGCCACGAGCCACGAGCCACCAGCCACCAGCCAAGAGCCAGCCACGAGCCACGAGCCTGCGCCAGCGCCGAGCCGAGCCGAGCGAGCGAGCACGCGCGCGCGGGGACCATCTCTCCTTCCAACAGCTTTTAGACTCCCAAGAGTCTTCTCCCCTATATAAACCAGAAGATTTCTCCTTCTTTACCCGATGTGGGACAATTCCCAATCTCTTCATTTACATGTTGCCTTCTAAAAAGTTTTCTCTTTATGAGCCCAAGCCCATTTCGTTTTCACACATACAAAATTTTATAAAGCCCACATGCTTTATTAAAATTAGTCCAACAATCCCCCACATGAATAGAAATGCCTCTAAACATATGCAGACTCGACAATGCAG